TCCTCAGTAGAATGCAGAAAGCACTCTACGGCCGTTTCGTCTTTTTTTCAGACTCATCAGCAGTGCGCATCTACTATCCACTACCGAGAATCGAACCCGAACATTTACGAAACAAACATCATCCCACTGAGCCAGCGAATGAATATATATATATATATATATATGTGTGTGTGTGTGTGTGCAAATATATAGAAAAATAGGAAAGAACACGTTAGGTTAATGATCCGAAGTTCTTTAATATTTTTGTTTATATTTTTAAAAAACAGCGCTCAATACATAAGTAGAGCTTAATTTATAATTAATTTTTAAAAATATGATTCCATCGCTACATAAGAGTTCTCATGTTTCAAAAACAGGAGCTAAAAACTTCAATTTAATTATAAAAATTAAATTGAATTAAAGTATCAAACGCTGTTTCAGTTTCAAGCGAAATTTTTGGAATTCCTGTTTTTGAAACATGAGAACTCTTATGTAGCGATGGAATGATATTTTAAATAATTATAATATATATATGATAGAAATTAAGGAGGATTTGAGATAATTAAGTAATTGATCGAGTCTAGAAGAAACCTCAACTGAATGCAGAAAGCACTGGACGCCCTTTTCTCCTATATTTGGAACTCATCAGCAGTGCATCCACCACCGAGAATTGAAACCCTGGCAGTTACATTGACAGACAAACGTCTCCGAGGTCCGTTAGTACAGTTGGTATGACGTTTGCTTGATAACGTCCCAAAGATGAAACGGCCGTCCAGTGCTTTCTGCATTCTGTTGAGGTTTCTTCTAGACTCGATGAATTACTTAATATATATAGTATTTTCTATTAATTCTAAAGGCACTTTTAATTCCCTTATTTTAAAGGCACTTCTTTCTTTGATTTTAAGTTTTTTTTGTATTATATATTAAATTTCAAATATATATTTTTTTCTTTGTGGATGTGTATTAATTAATATGTTTAAGTTAATATATGTTGATTTCATTCTAAGATATTTATATTTATTTTTTTATATTTCTCTTAATCTTCTTTCCTATATATTGGTTAATTTAATACTCTTTTATTCTGAATTATTTCTTTTTCATACTTTTGTGTTTATCTCTTATTATTTTATATAATTTTTTTTTTTCCATTAATTTCTGAGAGGATCCTTCAGTCTATCTACTGTCTGATTACCACTGGGTGGGTATATTAAATAGATCATCTTTTCTCTTCTTTCCTTCCTTTTCTTTTCTCTTCCTTTCCCCTCTGATCACCACTCATATCCAGACTTACATTATTTCTTGTTTCATTTGCTATCTTCCCTTCCTTTCTATTCTTCATTTTCTTTTTTCCCACTTTTTTGTTCCTTTCTTTCCTCCCCCTTTCTGGGAATTTTTTATTACAATAATTTATCATCCATTGTCTGTTTGAAAAATCCTGTAAATTTTATTTTACAAGATGAAAATAATCATTTAGCTAATTGTACATTGTATGATATATAAGTTATAATGTATATAAAAACAACTGTATATGAAAAAAAAATGTATGTAAAAACAACTGTATATTTAAAACAACTGTATATGAAAAACAACTGTATATGAAAAACAACTGTATATAAAAACAAATGTATATAAAACAAAATGTATATAAAAACAAATGTATATAAAAACAAAATGTATATAAAACAACTTTATATAAACAACAAATGTATATAAAAACAACTTTATATAAACAACAAATGTATATAAAAACAACTATAGATTAAAAACAAGTGTATAAAAAACAACTGTATATAAAAAAATCAATTGTATATAAAAAAAGAATCAACATGAAACTGTTATTCGTATATTCAACTTTTACATACTTGGTCAGATATTTCGCACCAATCACTTATCTCTATATAGCAATTTATATACAGTATAAATGGTTTGCAAGTGAATATCAATAGAAGTCACTTTTAATTGTCTGATTATATGATCCTCTCAACGCATAGGATGTGAGCGTCAGTCTCTCAAAATATATAATCTCATACCAGACTTGACTCAAATGAAATTCTATAATATTATAGATCATCGAGTTACCGTTACTAAACAGCATCTCTTGAGTCAATGAGATTACCTTCAAATAGCTATCTTCTATTCAAATAACCACAGCTATTATTATAACTACAGAATAGATTATACTGATTAGAGTAAAATCTTTTTTAAGCTAATGCGAGCGCCCGCCATGATATTTGTCCCTGATTTTCATTTGTTTCAGATAATGTGTCTATTCTGATGACACAAACATTAATTCATATCTTAATAGTAAGTCTGAGTGGTTCAATAAAATCATATTAGCGGCTGATCTTGAAAATGAACTTCAATATTTAGTTCACTGGAACATAATTTGGGTTGTTAATTTGAACGCATCCAAAACTAAACTGTCTTTTTAAAGAACGTTTTTTTGTCTTCCATATGTATGGCTGATGCTAACCTCCAGGAGATCAGCCTGTTACGTTTTCCCCTGACATGAAGTGGAACAGTTATAATGAATCAATTGATAAAGTCTGCTATTAGGAAAGTCTCTTCAATTGTTCGTGCTAGACAATTTTTCTCGTCAGAATTTATTTTGCACGTTTACCATCCATGCATTGGTGCCTCTGCCATATATCTAGTGATTCATGACAAATTCTAAAGAAGGATCTGCAACGTTTTCAGTCCTGAACTGGCATCTCGGCCAGTCACTTTGCCGCTATCGTAACGTCGTTTCTTTTTGCCTTTTCTATAAATATTGTTACGGTAATACTTCTGATGAACTGTTCTTTTTTGCTTCACGAATTAAGCGCAGTACCAGATTGTCAGATCGGTCTCATAATTTCAATGTTGAAAATAATAGTTGTAAACAAAACTTCTTAGCTAATAATTTCTTCTCCCGCACTTCTCGCTTGTGGAATTCTCTTCAAACTTCCTGCCGTTTTGTCAACTACAATATTTTAAAAATATTTAAATTTCATTGCAATGCAATGAAATTTCTTCCTTACATTCTTTCACTCTTTTCTCTCTCTCTCTCTCTCTCTCTCTTTCTCTCTCTCTCTCTTTCTTTCTTTCTTTCTTTCTTTCTTTCTTTCTACATGCAAACACAAACATATACAAATACATATATATGCACCCCTATTCCGATAAATATATGCATACATGATTAGTCGGTGTCCCACTACTGTGGCCTTATGCCAGATAAGATAAACTTATATCTACTTAAAATTTTATTTATAGTTCTTTACTGTAGAGCTGCGAACTGCCATGATTCTTCTTGGGTGACAGAGAGAGTGGGGGGGACTGTTTTCGCCGCTTCCTAATTTATCGAGACGCCATCTTTCATCAGCGGGCCGTTGACTCTTGGACTTGATCCACCCTTAGAAATCTCATTTTTCTTCGTATTGGGTTGCCAATCAGCATCTTCATGGTAGGGAATAAAAAAGATAACTCAAGATTTACGCATCAGGAGATCAAAATTAAGTAAATGTCTGAAATTCAATTATCTGGGCAGTGTAATAACAAACGAAGGCGTATAGTAATGGACTCTTTCGAGGAAGATTTCAACATAACTGATTCCCTGGCAGTTGTAGGTTCAATAGCCGGCTTTGGTAGCGATGGTAAGTCTCATCGTCTGATTCAGTGGGAGAAAAGGACAAGCGATACACAGGTGAATTCGAGTGATGAGCCTAAACTGAGTTATCTCCCCTAACCGATATGAGTTCTCATTCCGCTTTCCATGCGGAATGAGAAGCACCTCACGCTGTAGATTGAATAAAGGATATGGTTCCAAATTCAGAGAAGGGGACAGAGTCCGACGGCAGTTAACTGAAAAAGGCCGGAGATTATAACGACCGAAACGTTGTAAACACAGCAATCAATATGGGCATACTAGTCTGAGTAATAAAGTATATAATAATGATAAATTCTCATATTAAAAGTTCCGACATAAATGCTTTGTCAAGTTTGTTAACATGGATGAAGGATCAAGTATCACAAAGAGAAAGAGGGATTATAAAGCATACAAGGCTCAAGAGCCACTAAAGTTAGAGGATTACTGAATGGGGTTTGTTTTATGTACCTAAGAATTATAGATTTAGAGGATATGTAGGATAGATAACAATTGACCCTGGACTTGTTGAGGTTAAATTTGTTGTGATTGGGGAAGTAAGCTGTCAAAAAGGGACTTCTTAGAATTAACAGAATATGGATGATTGAGCATAGTTCTTGTTGGGGCGCACCCACCTTCTAACTAGTAATGGACTGGTCCCTCTTATATATGTCAGCTCTGGGGAGCGAGTGGGAGAGAGTCAGCAGTCCAGATAAGCTTACCCGGTACATACCGTTGGACTATAGACTTTGGATATTGTTTCGTACTAACCAACCTTCGTTCTACTAATCACTCTATTGTTAATTGCTTTTATGAATATACCAGTATTTTCCTCTACAACTGTGTTTGTCTTGATTCATACACCGACACGCGGGAAACTCACAACATCTCAACAGTTCTCCCCTGTGTACATGTGGGTGTAGCGGATCTTAGCTGTGAACTGATGTGACTAAGAAATGTATCCAGTGAAAACATTTCCCAGGGAAATAGTTATATAGTAAGGAGAAGCTTGCGATGTTGTGTCTGTTGGAAAGTGGTTGTGGGGTTGAAAATAATTAATCCCCTACAAGGACGCAAAGACACTTTTAAACTCGATCGCAGCTGGAAAGAGAGGGTTGGGTACTCCAGCCGAAATGTCGCGGGAATATTCCATATTCGGTCTAACCTGACACTTGTTACGATAGAACATGGCAGCAGGCGTTTTAGTGGAGGTCGGGGAGTGGGTAGAAAGAACTGACCATTTTTTGAGAATCTTTAGTAATGGCAAGTTCCTCGTTGTTTGAAGTGAAGTTGTTTCCCAACAAACGATCGAAGCAAAGAGCCTCTTTTAGAGTGCAGCCATTGATCTGGTGAGATGAAAAGTTACTGGCAGGGTTTTGTCGCAAGAAAAGATAGGATGCTATAGAGAAACATATTCATCAGTGAGAGAGAGCGAATGAAAGCGATAGAGAAAGAGAGTGGGAAAAAAGAGAAAAAGAAAGAGAGAAAGAGAACGACAGAGAAATACTCTCTCTGAGTGGGGAAGAGAAAGAGAGGGGGAGAGGAAGAGAGAGAGAGAGAGAGGAGAAGAGTGAATAAATAAGTTGTTAGAGAGGTTGTGACTAGTAATGCGCGCTAGATCAGGACTGAATGCTTTACAGCTATAGCCTCGTGTGTCAAATTAAGATAAGTTTAGTAAATATTTACACAAAACTCCATTTAGGTTGCCTACAGTAGAGTTATGAAGCCAATCTTCCAGGCTATCAATAGTGGAGTGATTTCTAGGAGTCCAATCATTTTGTTTGACTAAAATGAACTTCCTAAATATTTACACACACACACACACACACACACACACACACACACACACACAGAGTGAGAGAGTAAGAGAGAGAGAGAGAGAGAGAGTGAGAAAGAGAGAGAGAAAGAAAGAGAGAGAGAGAGAAAGAGAGAGAGGAGCACAGACAGATCTATACAGACCCAAAAGTAGTTTTTGTTTTTCTTTTCGCCGTCCATAACGTGACACGTGCCTTCACCAAGAGTTCTTCAAAGCTGGCAACGGCGTGCATCGAAGCGGTAATAATGTAATAGTTGCTTTCTCCATGATGGATTGCCGACCACAGAGAAAAGATAAGGGCAAATAACTCTTTTCTTTATTGCTGTCCTTTTTATCTGATTTATATCTTGTTTTATAAAACTTTATTGGAGAAAGTGCAAAAGAAACTTTTAGAGTTCAAAAAAGAACCTCATTGCTATTGAAGCGGTTTTCTTTTTCCCTTTCTCCACGTCTTATTTTTTTTATCGGTGTTCTCCAAATAGATATTGCATTTTATAGAGGAGCGGTGATGCAGTAAATAGTGACACTCTCAATAAGATGTTCCTGATTCTTAAACAAACAACTTGGATTTCAGCGTAAAGATAATTTCAATCGGTAAATAATGATTTCAAACCGATAGTACATTTATTTTCTAGTCACGCTGCTCAATATTGCTAATAGACAATCAAACATTGCAAGATGTTTTCTAGATCATAGGAAAATCTTTGAACACATACTCATCTTATATGCGGAAATATAAACATTACAAACATAATTTCAATATGTAAATGAACTGAGGGTTCTGTAAAGACTATTCAGTGATTCTGTTTAGAATGAAACCCATTTTTTAAGAAAGCTTCGGAATTTGTCAACATTGGTATTTGATTGTTTCAAAGGAATGTTAGTGAAAAGATTCATTCATATTTATTTCCTAACTTGGCTGATGGTACAACGGTACATGGAGGCACCTCCAAAGCTCTAGATGAATAAAGATTGGCAGCTGATCTCTCCTCTGAGCTAACTCTAACAGTTCTGGGGGTGGGGAAACTGGCTGGTTCCATTCAGTACCTCGGAAACCAAACTCATGACATTCCATCGTTATATATATATATATATATATATATATATATATATATATATATAATGACAAACAAACACTTCAAAAAATCATAGGTGATATTTATTTCATTGAAGTCGATAAAAAACGGCTTCAAGTCTTCAGACCTCTAAACCAAACGTAAATGGAAAAATCCACACCAGGTTTAAAAATTAAGAATAGTGCTTTCCTATTGAGAAAGTGGGAGAAAGAAAGATGTAAATTTATTATCCTGTAGGAAGGAGAAAAAGAAAATAGTGTGTCGTCACAGTAGTATTAATTGACATTAGGACATCCGGATATTGTGGACATAAACCGTTAAATGAAATGACAATTGAGAATGCATAAATTTAAGCAAAATAAAGGGTAAATCAGAATTGAAAAAATATTTTTTGTGTAAAATCGAAATTCTGTTCTTCTTCGGTTAAGATGTCTGTGTGTGTTTTCAAATATATAATTATCCATGAGATTCTCCATAAATAATTAATAAAAACATTAAGATATACAAAAGAAAATATATATAAAAATATCTATTTATATAAAGAAAAAATTAGATATATTAAATTATAAAGTATATAGAATGTCTGACGCTCAACTTCTCGAGAGCACCTCTTTGCGGCTGATCGGTCTCACGTTGACTGCTGACCTGAGATGGAACAAATACATTGAGTCAATAGCTTCGTCCACCGCCAGGAAAGTTGTCTCCCTGTGCCACGCCAGGAAATTTTTCTCCCCGGAATCGATCCTCCAGATCTACAAATCAACAATTCGCCCTTGCATGGAGTATTGCTGCCATATATGGTCTGGAGCCCCTTCTGTTTGCCTCGGGGTTCTTGATAAAATCCAAAGACGGATATGCAATGTAATTGGCCCTGATCTGGCATCTCGTCTGCAGTCGCTCTCTCACAGACATTTTTTTATATATATATATATATATATATATATATATATATATATATATATATATATTCCATTAATGATCGTCACAGTGGAAACAACAGATTTCTAAAAGCGCAAACAAATAATAAATACATAATGCACATAGTTAACATCAATACAAAATATAAGCAATATGCATGTGTATATCTATACATACTCATATATATATATATATATATATATACACACAATATATACAGATCCATAACCATCTACACACTCCCCCAATTATCTAGTGTTATATATGAATTTATCAAGTAACACAATAACCTGTCCCAATATAAAAGTGGTGTATCCAACCGGTTTTGAAATCAGATTTTTTGTTCTTTCAGACTTCTTGCTGACTTTTTACCAGTGCTCACATTGTAACTTTTTTTTTGTTGTTATTATCGCTTTTCTCTGGCACAGCTTTTTACTTATTGTATTCATTTCTATGCTTGGTCGGCTCAGGAGATTCTTGTGGCCTAGCATATGTGCTGATTCCTTAAGTTTACGGATTTTCCAAAGGTGTTCCTTGTCTATGATCTTAACCTGATCCCACAGAGGGCGGTGATCTCCCTTTTCTCCCCATATGTGGTCAGCCACGCCTGATTTTTACACTTCCCCTCGTGTTACAGCTTTCTGCTGTTCTTGAGTCATGTTCACCTCTATGCGGAGTCTTACACGGGAGAGTTATTGTCGTCAAGCTTTTGAAGCTTGATCTGATGTTATATGGACTGCAGATCCTTTGCATTTTCCGCTGCGGACGATCCCTTTCTTTACACTGTATGGATAGTGGGAATGAAATTGAGGTACAGTCCGGTGAATGTCGGTTTACGGTATACGGATATCTTGAAACCATGCTCTGTTACATTATGCTATTATTATACTATCATTCTGTTATGCTGCTTACAACACCTAGCAAAAGTCATAAGTGGCGATACAGAGACATTAGATAAAGAATTGGTCAGTATAAGTAGTACCCTACAACGTAACAACTACCCTGGGTACATAGTAGCAGCCCCCAAAAACTGGGATAGGCGGGTACAAGAGAAGGACAACAACACTCAGAAAACATTCTGCTTGCCTTATGTGAAGGGGTTATCAGAGAAAATACAAAGTTGCAAAAAAAAGTTGCAATATGAGCTCTGGTAAAAACATGTAATGATAACAGCAAAAAAAAAAAAAAATTGCAATATGACCACTGTTAAAAATGGTTGCTGAAGACATTAGGTTTATAAATTCATATACAGATGTCCCCAAGGGATAAAGGCGTTGGTTAGTTCTAGTGACAGGACCCAAAGTGTCTGAGTTCAATAGCCGGTTAAGGCAGTGGAGAACTTTCGGAGGAAATATATTTATGAATTTCAATTTCAACTCCTACTATTCATACAGCGTAAATTCATATATATATATATATACATACATACATATATATATATATATATATATATATATATATATATATATATATATATATATATATATGAATTATTGTGGCTTTATTAGGAATTGATTTAAACAAATGCAAACATATACAAACGAGATTGTTACGGTGCTACTGTCAATTAAAGTGGGTAAACACACGCACATTTTCCCTGAGATATGGTGGAAAATTTCCAGGTTTTTATCTAAAAAGAAATGATCAAAATATGTGGGGAGAAAACATAAAATGGTCAGAGTTCATAGAAAAAAAAAAGAAAGAAAGAAATGTTCTTTTAAATGAATTGGCGCTTAAGAAAGCAATAAACTGAATGATATGACCATCACATCTTATAAAACTTGATGATTCCTAGGGGCATATGTGTGCCGTAATATGTAAAATTGTATTCTGTATCAGTGTAGCTGAGACATTCATAGTTTTCGGACAGGATCTAATTGTGTTTGATTAAACTATGTCTCTTGAACTTAAAAAGACGACGCTCTTTATTCATGTGTTGGAAACTGTTTTAGGTTTTTGTCATTAAACAGTAGATGAGAACATACTGAGAAGACATGAATTCCGAGCAGGCATCAGTGGCACATGAAAACTGTGGGAATTCACAGGTTATGCAAGAGGAATACTCCGAACATCTGCCGAAGATGTCAACCGACCAAAGTGGAGAAATCGCATCGAATTACTCAGACCATCGACCTATACACAGTAGAACGTACAATGTATTCCATGGAATTTTAGGGTCGCCAATCAATATGGGTATCAGTATTTGCGCTGCGAAATGTGTTGTTGTTTCTCACTTGGGTCAGAAAACATCGACATTGCAACATGGAAGCTTGGCGCCGGGACGCCTTGTCACGTTTCCGACTCAGGAAGACAGTCGAGTTCACATCTGGAGACACGAACATATGAAGTTATGAATAGAGCTGTTTGGGTTAGGTTAGATTCGATATCCAAGCGAATATTCAGATCAAGGAAAACATAGAAAAAAGTGTGTAAATATAAGTATAGGTCATAATGTAAAACATCTATTGAAGAGAACTAAATAAAAGTAAAAAATGATGACTAAGTATTGAATGTACTTATCTTAATACAATCTGTTGTTAACATCTTCCCTAACTTTGGGAGCAAAGCTACGTTATTTAGTAACCTACTAGACTTTATAATTAGTAAAGTTTCTTTGGTTTATTAACATGCATGTTGTCAGTTCCCTTGTACAACATCAACTGGGATCTTATTTTAAATCTTGGGTGGCTCATGTGACAAATTTTGGTGGGGAAATGTGAGCTGCTGCTGATATTTTTGCGTTCCTAAACAGTTGATCACCAGAGTGTTGATTTGGGCTGTGTTCTGTTGCCCTTTGCCATAAACAATACAGAAATTGGCATCGGCCTTAACAGACATGACATGATTTAATCTTAGTAGACATTTTGTACCGTTTTTATGTTCGCCAGCCTTCAGGTTAGTGAGGATTTGCAAACCCGCTGTTCATTTCGAGGTCCTCAACAAAATTCAGAGACGGATATGCTATGTGATAGGTCCTGATCTGGCATCTCGTCTACAGACACTCTTTCACAGACGTGCTGTGGCTTCCCTCTGTCTTTTCTACAAATATTTTCATGGCAATTGCTCTGACGAGCTACTTTCACTGGTTCCCAAATTACATGAATTTAAGCGTGCTACTAGGTTGGCATTTCGGTTCCAC